ACACATTTTTGCTGGTTTTCTACTGATTTTTCCACTTTTGGTTTTCTACTTTCGGCAAAGTCAGCTGTTCAAATTGCATTCACTATCAGCTTGACTTCAGCAGCTTTCAGCAAAAATCTTTCAGCATTAAAGCATTCCCTGCATTTTCACAGGAAATATAAATTCGCCACTTAGACAAAACATTTACATAAAACTGTAATACCTGTTGCGTACTTCTCTTAGCAATTATCAAAACCCTTTTTTTGCTCTTCATGATTTCATTTTTCAACAAGTTCTTCTTGATGTATTGTTTCTCTCTTTTTTTTAAGACACTTCTGTCAAGTTTTACCTGAGTCTGTCGACTAAAATCCCAGCGGCTGTCAGATGTGACAGCAGTCCCCGCGTTTACTCAGACTTCAAAGYCTCTGCATCTACGCCGCTGTTGGTTTTTTAAGTTAGCACGTAAAGGATGCTTTCTTCTCCAAGGAAAACCTTCAGCTCRTCAGGGTTTTGGGGTTTGTGCATGTGATTCAGGAGCGTTAATCCCAACAGTCCCTGTAATCTCTTTGCAGCTTCTTCCCTCCGTTCCTTCGTTGCAGGCCTTGTGGTTTCTGCAGCACAAGTGTGACATTTAAGGACATTCCCCCCACCCCACAAACGTTATGAGAGGCATGGACATTTGTTTTGTTTTGTCGATTTTTCTTGCCATTTCCCCTTCACCGTGTTGTACGCCTGTTCCTCTAAAACTCGAGCCTTGCATTATAATAATCCCCATGGATTTTTGCACAAGTCGTYCTCTCATAGATGATTTTTCTTCCTTGAACACCTGAGAGCAGATAAGCTCCTCAAAGAGCAAACCTTCCATAAACAAAAGATTAAACTGAGGCAATAAAAAAGAGTTTTGCATAAAAGAACAACTTGTCTTTTACCAAAACATGTCATGAAAAACTGGAATCAACTCRAGATGGCTGGCAAAGCCTGCTGACCTTTTGAAATAAAAAAAATGRCTTTAACTCAGTCGCTTCTTCATATACATTTCCCAAATTTAAGTCAGGGATGAGCAATAGGCGGCCCATGTGCCACATCCGACCCACAGGGTGTCTTCCATCAGGCCTGCCAAACTGTTTRTATTTTATTTATTCTTTAAAAAACACTAAAAGCAGCTCTTAGATTAACTTTTGTAAATTACAAAAATATATAAAAGTGTCGGTGGCACTGAATAGTTTGTAATGACAGTTTGCCACTAGATGGCGCCACCTAACGCGCACGTCTTCTCTAAAAGAGATGTTTAGCCGAGGCTAAGAACAAAGGAAAGGCAGGACAGATAAAATCACGTGTTTCAGATGAAATGAGAGGTAGATTATCTGTTCACAGAATTTCAAATCAAACCTTTGTGTTTAGTTTGCTTAGAGATGCTGTCCGCCATAAAGTTAATACGAGTCACCACAACCTGTTGCACAAAGCTAAATATGAGACGTTTACTGAAGTCGCAAAAACATAAACAGCAGCAACTTTTTACCAGAACCAYGYAGAAGTCTTGTCTTTGCACTTCAGCTCGCTAAAGTGTCTWTTTTTTGTTTGTTTGTAGTTTTATGTTTTCTTTTTGTTTGGCAGTGTCAACAAAAAATTGTGGCCACTTCCATCATTTAAGTTTCCCATCCCTGCTCTAACCTTGGGGCCTAAAATACCATAAAAAGCCTTAAAAAGTACACACAAATTAAATGAAGTAATGCTTTTGAACCCTTTTTGAGTAAATTCACAAGCTTGGTCTCTTTTCAAAATATTGGGAGCCACTGTTCAAGTSAACTCTGTCTTTGCAAAATATCTTGTGATTTTAACTATTTAAAAGGCAGCCTCGCTGTTGGTATGGGGTTGTATTAGTGCCTATTACATGGATTGTATTTGCATGTTGATCATGATTTTAATGAAACTTTCAGAAAGTAACTGATGTGCATTTACAAGTGTTGGGTAATATTTATTACTTCAATTAATGCCTTTATTTTGTAAATAAATCTTTTTATGCAGTGTTAGTTCTATTAGTTTTAGTGATTTTTATTTAAAAATGCTTTCATAAACCTGAGAGTTCCAACCCTTAAAGCTAAAGCTACATTTTGAGRTTTTTAAAGGTCAGTTGAGCTCGAACAATCCWCAGCCTAAACAYTGAAGCATATTTTACCTTTAAAAGRRAAGTAGCTCAGCAGCAGCTCTTAAACTGAAGAAGATGCAAACATGAAGCTACGAGGTTTTCCAGTGACTGATGGAGACCATCAGCAGCACGGCACACTGCCAGGATTCACTTCAAATGATGGTAAAACGTGAAATCAACTTAAAAGACTGAGGACGGGGTTGGAGGAGTTGGTGCCAAGTCAGAAACTACATCTACCCCGGGGGGGCAGCGGGTACTTGGCTCTGACTAAAACTGAAATTGGTTTATTTTTCTATCCAAGCCTTCCAAAAACATGCAAATATTTGCCAAAAAAAGAAAGAAAAAACAGTAAAAAATGAATATAGTCTGGAAATTGATTTTTGTAGAGAAAAGTAAGTGAAATTAATTGGCAACGTAAAATTTGTTTGGAAAAATGAGCCGTTTGGAAACAAAGATTTTTATCTGYAAACATCCAAAGCTGTTCGCAGATGTTAGTGAAGTGTTGTAATTTAGTGAAAACAGCCGGGGTGTTTTCAGATTAGCTGGATTTAACATGARACGGCACAAGAAGTAGAAAAAAAAGCCCACAATTATAATCCCACTTCTCTCATACTTCTTCACTYTACATCTCTTTCTCTGTCCTTTTGCATTCATTTCTTTTCCGTTTCTATGGAAAATGCAAAATGTGTAAAATTTAAAAAAATGAGGTGAACGTCATGTAGCTGAAACTCTGAATTTCCTCCTCCTTTCAGATAACTTTTACGGCACTCCGAAGCCTCCAGCCGAGCCCAGCGCTCTGCTGCTCAATGTAACAGACCAGCTTCTGCCGGGCGCCAGACCCAGCTCCGAGGGCAAGAGGAAGCGCAACAAGTCGGTCAGCAACATGGAGAAAGCCAGCGTCGAGCCCCCAGAGGAAGAGGAGGAGGAGAAGCCCATCATCAACGGCAACGGCGTCGCCGTCACCCCAGGTCAGCCCCCGGCAGCTCGCCTCCACTGACACGGAGGCAGAAAGGTCGGCGAGGAGCAGGCGGTGCTTCCTGCATCACACTTTTAAGTTGCAGTTTCCTCAGGGCTTTCACGTCAATGTCCAATCAGTCACAGATATTTCTTTCTTCCTAATGACAAATATCTGAGTGATTTTGAACTCGCAGGAGGGATTTGCTCTGCAGTGAAATTAGGCGTCATTATCACGTCGGGTATTATTACTGAAAATTGTTGGAGGAGAAAGCCTGGGGCAAACTCATACTCTGCCTCTTCTAATCAACAGGAGCCTGCAGGCTGCTGGAAATCATGGAATCTTTTCATTTCAAATTTATTTCTCTGCAAACTATTGTCTTTTTAAAGAAATGCTGAAAGAGTAGGACATATAAACAAAACGAGTCAGAAAAATTCATGTCTTTATATAACATGACTGATATTTTTTCTTGGTTTAAACAATAAATGGTACAAGACCGAAGCTACAAAACTTAATAAACTAGTAACAAAACAGAACAAGGTGAAAACAAGACGATCAGAAACCATTATTAATCTGATAGAAGATGAGAGAAAGCAGGAAGTGTTTATTCTGAGGGAAGATAAGGACTGACAGAATGCAGGCTAAGCAGTGAGAAGAATAAATAATCAGCTCAAGATGGTCCAAACAAATTAAAGATCCAGTCCTGATTAAAGCTTTCTATGTTCTCCAAATGTTAAGGAAAGAAAATGTATTTTTGAATACCAGCAGAACCACTGTTTGGCCAGTGGTCCAAAGATTTGAAATTAGAAGGAAAAAAATTGCTTTTAAATTTTGATACATCAGCCTGTCACTCAGCATTAATGATATGATTCGCCCTATTTTTTTATCATATGATACAATGGCTTGCCATACATTGTGACTCAATGGTCTACTACGTATACTTGCTATATGATGCAATAACCTACCATAATTTTAATAATATGATACATGGTCTGCCATACAGGTTATATGACATGATGGCCTGCCATACTTTATGATGCAATGACCTGTCATATTTTTAATTATGACACAATGACCTGCGATACTTGTTATATGATACAATGGCCTGCAATACATTATATGATACAATGGCCTGCCGTACTTGTTCTATGACTGAATGGTGTGCCATACATGTTATAGTACAATGATCTGTCAAATTTTTAATTATATGGTACARTGGCCTGGTATACTGTATATCATACAATGGCATACCATACTTTTTCATTATTTCATACAACAGCATGCCATGTAGTTGTGAACTTTTTTCTTCAGTTTCATAATAGTTTTTCAGTTTCAATTCAGTTTAAAGGCACAGTGTGTAGGATTTGTTGTTTTCAGCGACATCTAGTGGTTGAGTGGTTGAATCTTCCTCCCTGGTACCCCCCACCCC